TTGATCGTTAACCCAACTGGCCGTTAACCCAACCGACCGTTAACCCAACCGGGCCGTTAACGCCATTCANCCGGCCGGTTGGGTTAATGGGCCCCAANCGGTCGGTACCCGGCATGTTTATGCCATAGGGAGGATCCAATGACATGCGCTAACCAGGCTAGCCAGGAAAGTCACCCGGTCTGCTCTCGAGCTCAACCGCAACACTGAGAAGTACTGTTTCAGAGAGGAAAAGCTGTGACTTGCTGCCACGTTACACAAAACGGTTCATTAGACAGTTAAACATATCGGGTGCCGGCGGACCAGGCGCCGTACCTACGTGGGACGCGCGCAGGGACGCGACCTGTTCAACCTGGCAACTCGCAGACATTTCATTAGAGGACCTTTGTATGGAACTTTTTCAGGTCGCTCGAGCGTCACAGGAGCAGTGGCGACGCACTTTGTGGAGTGATGCACGTCCATGGAGTCCAGGAATTAACTTTGCGCGAGCAGCCACTCTGTATGGCCAAGTAGCATTCCAATTTCCATTCTTCGTAAAGAATCGGGAGAGTAACGCTACGGGAGCGTCCATATAATAATAGGACAAGGGGCTCCACTCGTCAAAGTAGACTTTGACATGGTGGCATTAGTAGAACCAAAACTAACTCCAGAAACGTTTTATGAAATTCATCAAGAATACGGTGAACCCAAAGATAAGAACAAGCGGAACCTTGCGGAACCGAACGCAATCGATCAACGCAGCGATCACTCATGAAAACACCAAGAGATGCAATGGAGGCTCACTCTAGGAACCAGGATTCCAAGGACAAAGAGGTTCGGCAGGTCAACTCGTCGGGTCAAGTCAAGTCGCATGTTGCACGAAGTGCATTTTCCACAGGACAACATATTACAAGTGACCGATTATCTCCGACACTGTCACATTGACATGCGCCGCACGGTGGTGGCCTGGTGGGGCTGCGGGACCTCCGCGGGACCCCCACGGTGGGTGGTGGGGGAGCCACCCTGCGGCAGCATCACTCCTGGGCCTGCCCCGTGGCCCTGGGCACGGTGGGCCAAATTCAATTGCAGATGGTTGCTCGGGTGAGCCGAGCAAAGCTCTGGCTGATGCAAGCGCCACCCCCTTGGAGGGCTGTGTGTAGGTTGTGGTAGTGTGTCCTGAGGTGCCTGTGTAGGCGACTTTCCCCGAGTCCTGCTTTATAATTTTCTGGTGCAGTTGTGATGCGTTGCTGTTGCCCCCTGTTTGGTAGTGGTGTCCCGCTGGGTGTCTCTGCATTTTTGGGTGTTCTGCTGGCGGGCTGTAGCTACTGTTCACTTTCAGGCATTGTGATGTGGGGATGCATTGCACCGACCTTGCACGGGGTCCACTGTAACCTTCATTCATTCAGTGTATGTGAAGAAGTGCATGAATTCTCGGTCTTAGAGGGCATTGCGTTATGTGTGTAGTGTAGGGTGTGCAGGATTTCACACGCAGTGCAAGTCGCGCGCCTGCCAGGGATTCACACGGCAGCCCCGGCCCATCATCAGATCACACGCAGTGCAAGTCGCGCCCCTGCCAGGGATTCACACAGCAGCCCCGGCCCATCATGAGCCTATGACAGCTGCCGCCACGTCAAGGTGATTTGCTTTGTGTGCTCGTGAGGCAGGGAGCTCTGTCCAGCTGGCGCTGCTTCTGATGGGGTGTTACACTGTGGGCGGCTCATCCCGAGAGAGGACAAGCACCAGGGGCTATGACCGGGCCGAAACACAGGGGCGGGCAGGCGCGTGGCTCTACGTCCGTCTGTTCCGCCGCGCTCGCCTCACCCCCTCACTCACGCCAACCGGGGCGCTGTCCCAGCCCCTGGCTAAGGCAACACAGCGGACACAGAAGACTGCGAACTGAACTAAGCGAGAGACCACACTTCTGCCTTCTGTGATTGCGCTAAACATGTACCCGTTTGGTACCTGCTGAGGCTTTGCTGCTTGACCATCCACGCTCTTCTCGCACTTGGGTTTGTGACCTTCACAGCTGCTCCTCTATCTGTTACTGCAATCGTGCTCGCTGCCATCAGAGCGGTTACCTTTCGCTAGTACCCATACTTGCATGAAACACTCTTATATCAACCGAGTCTAATACAATGACCAGCAGTGAATTTGACAAAGTGTCATGCTCTCATCCAAAGTCAGACCTGTGCCTAAATGCGAACGTAAAGGCACAATTCTTTGTCAATATGTTCTTCGTTAAACGTCTTACTTATAACACTCGTAGAAATTGCGAATATATGAGTTTTTGGTGCTTATGTGAGCTTGAATGGGCTGGGGACCGGAAGGCACATAAATTAGGTCCCTCGCCGGTCCCACGGTCGTACATTCCGGGTCCCCTGGCCCTAGATATGCCCTACATAGATTTGTCGGTTGCCTTTTTGCAGTCTTCTTCTGTTACCCCAACACTTGAACTCTGGCGATACTGCTTCCCGATTCCTTTTTCTATTACTAAAACTTCATGACCAAGACCTTGGCCTTGGTGTGTCTTTGTACTGAAGCAATGCAAAAATCAAGTCACACTCACCAGCAACAACGCCTGGGCCAGCCGTAGCCGCAGCTGCACATTAAGGAGAAACGAGAGGGATGCACCATTGACATCATTAGTTGCTCAACAATGGGAACGTGTTCATAGCAGCAGTTAGCAGTCAGCACTCAGGCTGGACACGATCATTTAAGCAATCGTTCAAGGTTGTGTAGACATGGCTTGATTAGTGTGTGAGGTGAGTTCATATGCTATGTGAGGTGACGTGGTAACACGACCAGTAGTTAGTCATGGGAGTCCAGGAAATACCCTAAAAATGCAATATGACTAAAAAGAGTCAGCATGTGTGCATGTACCAAGGAAATATAACCCCTGCGTTGTTTTTCCCCCAGCAAAATGATTTGCACCTCACGCAGGTGCACCTGTCGGGGTGTACCTCCCCTCCAAGAAGAAGGAAAGGCGTCAGCTGTGTGTCACTCAAGACATACACTACAACAATCGAATAACACGCGTTGTTCCTATGTACAGCGGGTGTTTCTATCACAAACACAAACAAGCAAACTCCCAACCCAGTCTAGGAATGCGCTGAGCTTCCACAAGCAGCTAAGTTTGCATGTAGCAAGCTACATTTACCTTAGAATATCTTTAAGCTATTAAAGCTTAATCACAGTAACGGTACGGTCCCGTATTTACGAACCATACTCGTTAACTGTACGAACTCACTTTCTGGTACGCTATCACAACCTAGCGTACGACACCAAGACTCCAGGAATGGAGATGGCGGCAGGTGGGCCGCATTTAAGCCACCCAGGTGAAGTGCTTCGGCCAGACACTTAACGTATCACTATACTAGTGTTCAGGGTTCAAGACCTTGCTGTCACCGTTCTCGACGTATGTCTTCGAATCCCGACTTCCCTTGTCTCTTCTCACGCCTAACGCTGGGTCGCCAATCGTGGACGAGACCCTCTACTTCCGCTAAAACAGCTAAGGTAAGAGACGGCTGTTACATTGCCGATGCATGCCTGTTTCGATTGGGCATGCCTGTTTTGATTTTGTTTCGTTTTTTGCATGCCTGTTTCAAGGCAACCGAAATTGCCTCTTTCAG